ATGTTTTATAACTATCACATTATAAAAGGGGAAACCTAGTACCTTTAACCAAGTACCTTTAAATATCACTCTGAAAAATAATCAATGGTTCACCAACAGTTCATTCACTATGTTATCTCATGGTAACTATTTTTAAAATAGAAATTCTTTTTTCAATGGACAACACTTTTAAGCTTTACTAAGGTATAACTGAAAAAACTGCAATATATTTAATGCATATGACATAGTGATTTCATATACAGATACATTGTGAGGGCTTCCCAGGTGGCACTAGAGGTAAAGCACCCCCCTGCTAATGCAGGAGACGCAGGAGACAGGGATTCCATCCCTGGGTCAGGAGGATCCCCTAGAGGAGGAAATGGCAACCCACTCCAGTATTATGCCTGGAGAACCCCATGGACAGAGGAGATTGGCAGGCTACAGTCCACGGGGTCGCAAACAGCTGGACGTGACTGAAGCTACTTAGCTCACACATATGTTGTGAAATGATGACCACAATCAAGTTAACTAACACACCCATCACCTCACATAGCTATCTTTTTTCTTTTTGCTAAGAATGCTGTTCTTATTTCTTTGTTCCATAGACTTCTTGTAACAAGTGTCATCTCAGATCACCTTGCTAAAAAATCAAGGTACAGTAAAGAAACATTAATCTATACAAATATGAATAGTATACTTACCAGAAAAATCTTGAACTCTGATTCATCACAAATACATATGCATAGATTAAGCTATGAAAGAATTTTCATACCATTTTGACAGTGGAGTTCTTCCATGTGACATAAATAGCATGTTACTTTTTAATGCAAAATCAGCCCCCCAAAATTATTCTATAACTGGAAAATAATTTTAAAGAATGAAGACCAAATCTTTGGGCAAATAATAAGAACAAAATAAATAAATTTAAAAAGGTAAAAGTATAAATGTTTAAAATTATATATATATTCATATACATATACTTATATAGTCAATATTAATATTATAAAAGATTAGTAAAAGCCCTATAGACAGCTGATCAAAAAAAGTGCCCTACTGAATTTACGGGAATAATACACAAAAGAAGTTTATTTATCATTTACCAAGCAATATAATGTGAATATTCTTAGTTGATAAGAAGCACTCCTCACTCAAGCTTGATGTGATAGTGCCCAACAAAAGAGGACAGACTCTCATTACAGATCTGCCCAGAGGTGACCATGAAGTTCATAGGTAAAAGCAAACTATCCCATTCATCAGTAGACTTTGTTGTGTACCCTGTAAGACAGGAAGGTATAATACAATATAGTACAGAGTTTTAGATCATGATCAATAGTTTTGCCAGTTGGTCAGGTGGGCTTCCCAGGTGATACAGTGGTAAAGAATCTGCCTGCCAATGCAGGAAACACGGGTTCTATCCCTAGGTGGGAAAGGTTTCCCTGGAGTAGGAAACAGCAACCCACTCCAGTATTCATGCCTGGAAAAATCTCATGGACAGAGGAGCATGGCAGGCTATAGCACAGAGTCGAAAATGACTGAGCATGCATGCAGACATCTGTAAGAGGTAAGGTTGGAAGAACAGTGCCAAGAAGGACTGGGGAAAAAGTATGTGAATGGATCTCTGAGAGACAGCATAAAATTTACAGATCTTTGTGTATCATTTTAATGCCCACTGGAGAGCATCCACCAATGAGAAATCACTTTACATCCAAATGAACAGGATGAACTGCCCTTCAGATAATCTTCCTTTTTCTTGACCACTGTTGTGCTTATATGTAATGGACTCAGGATAATAATGGCCTTGGTGGCAGGGATAGGAGCAATGTTTGAGCCCACAATATGGACTTTGCCTCAGTAAAGCATCTAAGTTTCCAACCAACCAGTATAAAAAATGGAGCCTTACTCTGGATAAAGCATTGTTTCTCTGGGGGCTGAGTGAATGGATAAACAGGCTAATAGGTTAAACAGTTGTTGTTGTTGTTTAGTCACTAAGTCATGTCCAAATCATTGCAACCCCATGGACTGCAGCACGCCAGGCTCCTCTGTCCCTCACCATTTCCTGGAGTTTGCTCAAATTCATGTCCACTGAGTCAGTGATGTTATCTAACCATTTCATCCTCTACTGCCCCTTTCTCCTTTGCCTTCAGTCTTTCCCAGCATTAGAGTCTTTTCCAATGAGTTGGCTCTTTGCTTCATGTAGCCAAAGTACTGGAGCTTCAGCTTCAGCGACAGTTCTTATAATGAATATTCAGGGTTAACTTCCTGTTAGGATTGACTGGTGTGATCTCCTTGTAGTCCAAGCGACTCTCAAGGTTTAAACAGCCATTGGGTTAAATGGTGGCATCCAGATTCTGCTGTCCCAGGATTCTATCATTTGCATTGATACTGACAAGTGTGGTCCAATGGCAGCATCTCTGCTGTCAGCTCTGCCCTGTGGAGCACAGTCAACTATGAAGCTTGTCAAAGCTCTTTGCCTCTTCACCACTCTGCTCCTCACTTCCTTGTAGTAAACGAAGTTCCTCTGAATCGTTCCAGAGAACACAATCAGATGGCGGGTTCTTGGACCCAAACCTTCATAACAATTCAAACTCCCCCATCTTTATGAACATTCTGAACTATTCTGTAACTACCACATACAAGTTCCCTTATTTCCACTTGTATGTCATCCAGGTTAGCTTTCTATATAACAGGAGAGCTAAATGTTGGCTCATGACTCACCATGAGCAAGATCATATCAATGAGATGGATTCTCTCCTGTGCAGCCTAATAGTTTGTATTACCCTCCTGGACTCCTGTCTACCGCCCTCTACTGAAGATCTTTCACACGGTCTCCAGGTTAGTGCACATACATGTTGAATTTTTTTTAAAAAATGCACAACATGAGAGTTACGAGTCAAGTTTTATTTGGGGCAAAATGAGGACGGAAACCCAGGAGAAAGCGTTTCAGATAGCTCTGAGAACATGCTCCTAGGAGGTGAGGGGAGGAGCTAGGATATACAGGATTTTTGCAACAAAAGACAGGTAGTCATCAGGTGGTACAGTGATAAAAGACATGGGTTCCATCCCTAGGTCTGGACGATCCCCTGGAGGAGGCCATGGCAACTCCAGTATTTTTGCGTGGGAAGTTCCATGGACAGAGGAACCTGGTGGGCTACAGTCTATGGGGTCACAAAGAGTTGGGCATGACTCTGATCACAGTCATCAGAAACATCAAAAGATTACCATTAATTAGAGAAACCAGATATCCCAAGTTAAGGAAGTGAGTACTTTTCTTTGTATGGGAGGATGCAAGAGTCTGGGCTCACTGAAATCATTCCTTTCATATGCACCTCAGTTATCTGGAGCCATTATCTTGTGTTTTCACAGCCTGAGCGCCCACGGGCTCCCCACAGAGCCCTTCAGGGCTCTCTACAGAGAATGGCTGCAGAGTGTGGCTGCTGGATGGAAGGTATTCTTTTCCTTCCTGAGTTTCCTCAGGACTCACCAGCTCACATTGGAAGGCTGCAATCGCTGATGACTGTCACATCCTTGTTTACTGATATGATAGGAAACACTCCATTTCTCAGTGTTAACTCCATAACTCAGTGTTGGCAGCATTGCATGTACACGCAAGTTAACTTCTCAGAAATCAAACCTTACTTATCAGTGATTTGGCTGAAATCAGGCCTTGACCTGCAACTTGAAATGCAGCAATCAGCAGGCTCACCAAGGACAGCAGAAGGGGCGCTGTAGTCCGGGAGGTGGACAGATGAGCTTGGGGGGGAAATCATACCCTATGTAATGGTAGAAGGCCCAAAATGTTTTTATCTCGTGCAACACTTGTTTCAGGACAATAAGGGCTTCAAGCTTATGTATTTACCAACTAGTTTTTACCTTTTCCTTCCCCTATGACATCTAGATGTCCAAATGAACTTAAATTAAAAAAAAAAACCTTAATCTTTTAATCTAAAACTATCTTAGCTGTATAATTTAATTACTCTATGATAATTGCCCTTGTTACTATAGTATACAACAAAGAAAGGTAGACTTTTTCATCATCAGGCCAACTATAAACTATGTACTTATGGGTAAGAAATTTATATTCTTTTTCAACTGGGGGAATATTGTTTTACAGTGTTGTGTTGGTTTCTGCCATACAGCAATACAAATCAGCCGTAATTATACATATATCACCTCCCTATTAAGACTCCCTCCCCTCCCTCTACCTTACCCCTCTAGGTCATCACAGAGCACCATGCTGGGCTCCCCGTGTTATATAGCAGCTTCTCACCAGCTATCTATTTTACATATGGTAGCACATATATGTCAATGCTAATTTCTCCATTCATCTGACTTTATTCTTTCCCCAGAATTTAACTTCTTAAGGCCTTAGCTGTTAAAAAAAAAAAAAACACCTTATATGATCTTAAATAACTTAAATAACTGCTTTATTATAAACACACTTTCTAAATTAAATCCATGCATTTCTGTTAAATAGATCTTGAATTTTACAAATTGATAAATTAAGCTCTATAATATATTGAAGAAGTGAAGTGAAAGTTGCAGTCATGTCTCTTAGATACCCCATGGGCTATACAGTCCTTGGAATTCTTCAGGCCAGAATATGGACTCAGTAGCCATCCCCTTCTCCAGGGGATCTTCCCAACCCAGTGATCGAACCCAGGTCTCCCACATTGCAGGCAGATTCTTTACCAGCTGAGCCACCAGGGAAGCCCCTGGACTTGGTAGCCTATCCCTTCTCCAGTGGATCTTCCTGACCCAAGAATCAAACCAGGGTCTCCTGCATTGCAGGTAGATTCTTTACCAGCTGAGCTACCAGGTGAATATAACTATATATTTCATCTAAAAGACATATATAAAATAAAGGTAACTGAGCCCTGTTGCTGGGAGGGATTGGGGGCAGGAGGAGAAGGGGACGACAGAGGATGAGATGGCTGGATGTCATCACTGACTCGATGGACATGAGTTTGAGTAGACTCTGGAAGTTGGTGATGGACAGGGAGGCCTGGTGTGCTGCGGTTCATGGGGTCGCAAAGAGTCGGACACAACTGAGCGACTGAACTGAACTTAACTGAGCCCTAAAGAATGGTAGTTTAAGAAAATTACATAAGCAGGGTTTATTTGGCAAGGTAAACTGTACAGTAATCCACCATTAGATTATACTAATATTAGTCTGTGTATAGAGAAAATGTTAAGTGTGAAGCAAAATGTATAAGATACAAACAACCGAAAAGGCAAACTATATATTTGAAAACACAGTTGTGGTTCATGGTTAATTATTTCATATCTCTAAGAGAATGTTTTAGTTGCACACAAAAGGTAAATTTAATTACCATACAAATGTTTGCAACCCTCTGATATAATAAATCCCCCAGGATCACATGTTTACTAAACAGACTTCCTTCTCTTTCCAAATACATTATTGATCAGCTTGGCCATGGATTTAGATCCACTGTATCTTCTCTTTTCTTTGAGTTTGAGGTTTGTCAGGACGTCCCTGATAATTCTGATGAACATCATTTCCACCTCCAGAGATTGCTCTGCTGCAGAGAGTTCACAGAACTGGCAGCGGTTCTCCAGTGCCAGTCTGTGCCCTTCTATCCAGCCAACCTCTCGCACATGACAGAGATCTTGCTTGTTACCCACCAGAAGCACTGCTGACTCCACAGCTCTGAAACACAGATACACAGTTCTTTGGTAAGACTGTTTCAACTCTTTTTATATATTAAGTAGGTTTATATATAAAAGAATTATAGACCCCCCCAAAAAAAGGAAAAAAATATTGTTTGAGTTATTTGTGTCTGTGTGTATTTGTAGTCGTGTGTGTGTATCCTCATTTACTCATAAAAAGGATTTTAGATTAAATGTAGTAAATGACACAGACCCAACAGAACTCTTAAAGCACAAGATTTGAAGTGGCACAAATCTATTCCTGGAACTATGGCTCTGTTTACTAACAAGACATGAGTGTGACATCATTTTCCACTTTCAGGTCTCTTATATGTTAAAAAAAAAAAAAAGGTAAAATAGTTCTCGTCACCAGAATGAAGATGTATATAAAAAACCTAGCCCAATGCCAGGCTATAATAAAATAATGATAATAATAAAAGCATCTTTTATTAAAGATGCTTACTAAGCATTGTTTTTCATTTTCTTATCAATTGAAAGAGGACTAGCTACTGCTTCTTTACTAATTAAACAATTTAAATACAGTTTTCTTAAGGAAAAATATTATTCAGTACTCATCACTGCTTGTTCCCTGTTAATATTCATTATAACATACTCTAAAGAAAATTTTACCATCTTGTAACTTTGTACAACTTTTCTGATTTATTTAAGAAATATATTTCTTTGTTAAGGTAACATCTTTGGCAAATATCAATACAATTTCTGTGGTTACAGTACAACATTTCTAAAGCAGAGTTTCATTTGAAGAATACAGTATGGCTACTAGTCCTCAAATGGCAAGAAATAGTGCCAAGATATCTACTATAGGGAAAAAATGGGAAAATGAAAAGTCTTCTCAAGAGATACTGTATAGAAACCACCAAATTATGTTTTATTCACATGATGGTTTGAGCCATCAAGGAAAAAGCATTGCAAGTCTAACACTAGACTCTTGATGATACTAATAGTACCTTTTTATAGAGTTCATACACTAACAGTATCTTTTTATATAGGGCTTCCCTGGTAGCTCAGGTCGTAAAGAATTTGCCTGCCTTGTGGGAGATCCCGGTTTGATTCTTGGGTCAGGAAGATCCACTGGAGAAGGGATAGGCCACTCTACTCCACTCCAGTATTCTTGGGCTGGTGGCTCAGACAGTAAAGAATCTGCCTGCGATGCAGGAAACCTAAGTTCGATCCCTAGGTTGGGAAGATCCTCTGGAGAAGGGAATGACTACCCACTCTAGTATTCTGGCTTGGAGAATTCCATGGACAGAGGAGCTTGGCAGGCTACCATCCATGGGGTAGCAAAGAGTTGGACATGATGGAGCAACTTTCACACATATGTAAATAAATGAAATATTTTGAAGGATGAGTCACAAATATCAGATATAATTTTATAAAACAATGCCATATTTTCTTTCTATCCATAGATAAGAGATTTGGAAATAGACTCTATTTAAAAATTGAAAACTGGAAATATCCAAGAATTATTTGATCAACACATTAAGAAGATTGCCTGAAAATGTCAAATATAGGGATTTTTTTAAATATACATTTTTTAATTCTTCTTGAGTGATTCTTTTGATATGGAAGAATAGCAAAGTAATTTTAATTACTGACCTTTACCAAAATTATGGTGCTTAAACATAAAGTATTTAACACTTAAAAACAATAGAGTTCCCTCAAAATCAGTAATATTATAGGAAATCAGAGCTCTGAGGTTTCTTACTAAAATCACATTCTTTTTCCTACCATGTTTCCATCAGTTCTATAATCAGAAAAAAAAGGTCTAGAAATTAAAGGGTTTACCCAAGGTCAATCAGATATAAACAAGAATTTACATCAAATGACTCCAAGGGAACACTCCTTATCAATTATTATCTGATTATCTCTTGATAATGGACATTTAAAAGAGATATTAAAATCACAGACATCAATTATCAGGAATGATATTGTGCTTCTTTGCTTCCCAGATTAGCATGGTATTAGAGAAGGGCAAATCTGGTCAAGAAACAAAGAATCCCTTACACCAGCATTTTGAACAAAAATAACTATTTTAAAGGGAAAGGATAAAACAACTTAAAAAAAAAAGAAAACTAAAAATGGGAAATTCATAGGTTTAAACATATATCTACTAATGAAAACATAGTCTCAGGCATCATTCTGTTTTCCTGCATAATGACTTGTGTCAAGACATTAACAATAGGGCATTGTAGATTAGCTCTTTATTTTAGGAGGTGAAATGGAGAAAAATGTAGTCTCATACTTAGAATTTGTAATGGTTAGATTATTCAGTCTATTTTGCTTTGATAGACTGAAAAACCCAATGACTAGGAATTGAATGCCAAATGTAATATATCTGGATTTATTTAGTATCCTTAACATTTTTGTGGGAATGAAAAAGAAAGGTGGAAAGGGAACTATCTTGTGTACAAAGGACTATTATTTTGCAAGCGAGTGTCAAGTTAACAACAGAAGCTGTCTTGTAAAATAGTCATTTATTCGGGGCAAGTAACTGTTGCTGTCATTCAGGATATAAAGTATTCTCATCTTATTCCTTTTACTACGTGTGTAGCTCCTGTGGAATGGAAGGTGGCTTGTTCAGGGCTGTTAAATTTTGTAATTGGAAGCCTGTATTAAACTCTTCCTAATGATGCTTACAGCTCTATGATGATTTACTAAAAAGTAGAGAGGAATGAAAAATACCTCACCTTTTACGATGACTTGTCTGTGGCTCCCGAATTCTGTAGATTAGTGTTTTTGCGAATGCAAAAGAAGACCTGTCACTGATGTCATACACAATAACAAACCCGTCTGCCCAATGCAGCTCACTCGTGAGGGAAAATTTCGCTTTCTGTGGCTGAAAATAAATCAAGCACATTGAAAGTGGTAGGATTGGATCCCTGTATTTTACATCACAGACAGTTAATTAATGAAGACCCATTTTACCTGGAAGAGAATTCGGTAAGGCAAATACTGATATTTTCTAAAATGTAGTTTCTTTGTATCATTCTTTTTCTTTTATCAAAAGTGATCAAAATTAAAAAAAAAAAAGAACTGTAATAAAGTTATATCTATTTCATTTGATAACTTTTTTCTCTAAAAGAAAACTTCTCTTTTTCTGAAAATTTGATGAGCCCTAATAATTGCCTTTTACATCAATATCCACACACATTTTGAAAGGAGACAGTATCTTCTATATTAGTGAACAGAATATGTATTGATTTTTTTGGTACCAGATTTAAATCAGTAAAGCAACAATAGTAATTAAGGTTTAGCAAAAAAGATTTGAAGGATGTTTGCCATACCCAACAAAATATATCCCATAGAGGTGTTCTGAAATCTTGAGCAGCTGGCCACTCTTCTCTTACTGATATAATTATATTTAAACTTTTTGTGTTTAAATAAAAGGGTTTATACTCAAAATCCTTCTTACTTTGGTTTTACCGACAGTGGTTTAGTTATCAACAAATGCAACTTAGCAAACATATAAACTGAATTAATAAGCCATTAAACTATTAGCATTTGACAGCTACATTGTGACCTGATAAAAATATATTATGAAAGCATAATAATATTGCTATTTTAAAGATATCGGTAACATGATAATGGTGTCATAACTTTATAGAGAAGCTAGATAATATAACATTAAAATAATTTCTTAAATTTTTAATATTTAGAATTGAGAAATAACTTCAATATTAAGGCTAGAAACTGCACACTTAGCCTTATCCTATCTTCTTCAAATCATGATTGAAAACATAAAAGTATTGTTTTACTTACCTGAGAACAAGGGTCATATATTTCCAGATTCAACTGCTTCCCTTCCAAAAACAAATGCTTGTTATAGATAGATTCTGCAAAATATTCGTATACTCAATATCAGTATGGAAATACTCCAGAATTTTAAAACATGGCAGCCAAATATAAATCCAGCCCTATAAATTCAACCTGTCATATTTTAGTTTTAGTGGCTTTTCTTTATTGATAGTGGTCAAAAAAACTATGTATTTGCTATATTTGCTTATGTATATATTTCTTAAAAATGAACTTCACCACTATACCTATTCACTGACAAGGTTTTGTGCCTATATATTAGTCTGTTCATTACTATAGCCTCTAGAAGAGTATCTGCCACATGACAGGTGTTCAATAAATATTTCTTGAATGAACGAAAGACTTCATTTCTGTAACTGTCCCTCCAGTGTTTTCATACAAGACCTACTTCTCTCCAGAATTGCATCCTGACACAATTGCAAACTGATACATGACCCATTCTGGCAAACACTCCATAACCCACGGTAGAAAGATGTAGCTGACATTTGGGAAAGCTGGCTTCAGGGAGTTAGGGATGACATTTAGTTTATATAATTCAATTAATTAATTAATTTGGGGCTGTGCTGGGTCTTCGTTGCTGTGGGAGCTTTTCTCTAGTTGCAGGGCATGGGCTTTTCGTTGCAGTGGTTTCCCTTGTCGGGGAGGACAGGCTTTAGGGTGCTCAGACTTCAGTAGTTGCAGCGTGTGGTCTCAGTAGTTGAGGCTCTCAGGCTCTAGAGCACAGGCTCAACAGTTGGGACACATGGACTTGGTTGTTCTGCAGCATGTGCGATCTTCCTGGACCGGAGACTGAACCTGTGTCTCCTGCATCGGCAGGCGGATGCTTTAGCACTGAGCCACCAGGGGGAACCCAGGGGTAAATTCTGAGATCCTTCTAGGCTACACGGAATGAAATTTGTTACTGGTTCATTAAATCTTAAAATATGTTTTCAGACAGTTTATTCTAAACTGTATAAGCTTACTACCATGAGCTGTCAGTGGTAAAGAATCTGCCTGCGATGCAGGAGACGCGGACGCAGGTTTGATCCCTGGGTGGGGAAGATCCCGTGGAGGAGGAAACGGCAACCCACTCCAGTATTCTTTCCCGGAGAATCCCATGGACAGAGGAACCTGGTGGGCTACAGTCCATGGGTTGCTAAGGAGTCAGACATGACTGGGAGATTAAACAACAGCGACAGCCATGAGCTATGTACTTTCCTCCTGAGACATTTTAAAATACCTACTCTCAATACTCAAAAACTGCCAGCAGGGGTCACCAGCTCTTAACATTTTAGAATTTAATTATTTCCCCCTGTAGCCTTCACTTACACATAGGGTCATTTTTTGGCCAATTAATCTTCTTGCTGTGGACCTTTAACTCACTTGATTGTCTTTATAAATGACTCCAGGTTTTATTTTTCAACAGAGGTGTAATCACCAGAAATATGCATACTTCATTTGCTTATATAACTATGTTGTATTAAAGATTAAGGTGACATTTAATTTTGTTGTTGCTGTTAACTGTTCTTTGTGTGTATTGTTTTATAGTTTTGGAATGCTTTCTCATGCCTTACTCTTAGTTTGTGTGTTATCTGGCCCTTTATGACTGAAGTTGTTGACCTGAGAAATGCAACAATAAGAATTTCTCTTTCTATATATTTTTTCTTTCTATAATCAGTTTTCAAGAGCTTGCCCTAAAACACTCACAGTGTCATATGAACCAAAATACTATGTTGGCTACATGCAGGTGACAACACAATGCAATACTTCAAGGTTGTTTTCTAAAATACTCTATCAATGCTACCTCCTAAATGAATGCTAAAGATTTTTGTTGTTGTTTATTTCTCATGAAAAACACTTGCAATCTTAACTTCTTACTTCTAAGTATTACTGAATGAAAAAATAATAATTTCCCTTTCTCCCAATTCTATTTCTTAAAATCTTCATTCATGTTAAAAAAACAAAAAAACTTCCCCCACCATGCTTTTAATCAGGTAAGATATCAGTAGCATTATATAGATTAATTGTTGAGCCAAAAATATATTCAAACTTCTGGCAAAATTCCCCACTTTTTATTAATTCTCCTCTGTGGCATTTCCCATATGTCATGCTAATTTTAATAAAAATAACAAAATTATAGTAGAGTTAGTGAAATGATCCTAAGATTATATCAAGGTGCCCTGGCACCTGTTTTAGAATTTCTCTGAAACTTACATTAGCAACCTACATAATTATGATATGATCTTTAATCAAAGCATAATTTTCCTGTTATTTTCACATGGTCTTGTGAAAATAAGCATTTATTAAATAAATGCCTTAAATAAAAATAAGGATTTATTTTGTTGTTACTTGTGCTTTTCTAATTAATTTGTCTTTATCTCTCAGCAGATGTTGCTTTAATTTTAAAATTGCTTCACAGTTTAACAAAACCCCCACACTCACATGCTCTGAAATGTTTGGTGCAGATGGGTGGGTCCCAGGTTCAAGGTTTTTCTAGTTCTAGACTGAAACCAGCTGGATTTCTAATGTACCTCAGTTAACATAAAACTGGATAAATTTTATCATGAAAAAATATTTAATTAAAATACTTATTTGGGCTTTTAAAATCAGGGTCTATGAATTAAACAAGTTGCTTCAAAGTGCAAAAATGGAAGATTCTATGCAAATGCTTCTCTGATGTTAATTTGAAGAAGAAAATGGAACCCACTCCAGTGTTCTTGCCTTGAAAATCCCATAGACAGAGAAGCCTAGTGACCTACATACAGTCCATGGGGTCACAAACAGTCAGATACGTCTTAGCAAATGAGCACACGTGCACTGATGTTAATTGATGATGCTGAAGTTTTAAAGTGAAAAAGTCTAAAGTAGTGACTTACCAAAATTAGAAGCATATTCTCCAATGAAGCGCTTGGTAAGAAATCTTACTATAAGGGCTGCAAAACAAAACAAGTTGAATTTAAGGTCTTACCAGTTTTAAGACACAAATTAACAACTTAGCTTTCCTGGTGAGTCAGGCAGTAATGAATCCGCCTGCAATGCGGGAGACCTGGGTTCAATCCCTGGGTTGGGAAGATCCCCTGGAGGAGGAAATGGCAACCCACTCCAGTATTCTGGCCTGGAGAATCCCATGGACAGAGGAGCCTGGCCAGCTACAGTCCATGGTGTCGCAAAGAGTCAGACAGGACTGAGCGACTAGGCATAGCACACATGCGCGTAAGGTTTTCTCTCTTGGCTTAAAAATTACTAAGTATTAATGAAGACCTTGACGTTTTACTAAATTCTGGTCCAAATAATAATCAGTAAGATTAGCATCGTAAAACCGTAAAAATTAGGAGGCTAGAAAGAAATTGATCTTACTGTGCTGCCCACTCAATTCATGTGTAATTCACTAAGGCAAACATACATAAGAAAACTCAGCTTTGCAACAGATTTCTTACTAAATCTGAGATGCAAGAGCTATGATATCTTTTTATTTCATCAAATTAATTGTGGCTCCAAGGTGCCACCTGTTTATAACAGTGGTCAGGACAGTATCACACCTTTGCGATTGTTTAAGGAAACAGGGACTTCAAAATCCAAGAAACAGAGGATCGCCCTCTAGTGTTGGCTTATCTTAGTGCAGCTCCTGGGTCTGGCAGTCATGATTCACTAGGCTGGGTGGCTCTATTGGCAGCATCCTCACTACCATCAGGTAACAAACACAAACGCGTAGCTTGCAAGGTCATGGACCGTGTCGCTCAGTTCCCAGGCATTTAAAAAGCCCTGTCCCCTTCTCCCTTCAAAGTGTTTTGTCTTTCTTTTTCCTCCTCTGTAACGTGGCGTATGTGTACCTATGGCTGATTCATCTTGATCTTTGGCAGAAAACGATATTCTGTAAAGCAATTAACCTTCAATTAAAAATAAATAAATTTTTGAAAGTTAAAAATAATCCACAGGTTTTCACACGTTTCTCTCCACACTTAGTCTCAGGGCAGAGGAATCTTTTCAAGACCACTGCTTGGCCTAACTAAGGCTTCTCGGGTGGTGCTAGCGGTAAAGAACGTGTCTGCCCATGCAGGTAGACACAAAAGATGTGGGTTCAACCCCTGGGTCAGGAAGATCCCCTGGAGGAGGGCATGGAAACCTACTGCAGTGTTCTTACCTGGAGAATCCCATGGACAGAGGAGCCAGGTGGGCTACAGTCCCTAGGGTCGCAGAGAGTCTGACAAGACTGACGTGACTTAGCACATATGCATGCGGGTGTGGGGGCAGGCGTGACCGAGTGAGAAGTGCGTGGGGTCGTGATGGAGGGATTTCCTGTTGGTCCTACTTATTTTCAACATCAGTAGAACAATATACAAATTAATACTTCAAACAGTTATGTTCTTCAACCTCTATATACATTTTATAATTACAGAGTTAATTGCATTACTTGCTTATAAAATGAAAACTCCTACTGAGAAATAATATATAGTTATAGCAAGGCTATAAATGTATGTTATATATATATATATTATATATATATATATAGTCAATATATTTCCCACTCTTTATGTACTCTACACCAGAAAGAAAATAAAAAAAAAACATTACCAGATTTCCCTGTTCCTTCACTTCCCAAAACAGTAAGCTTCACGTCATTCATCTTGCTTTCCTCCTCTTTCTTGGTCTGTCCTGTCTTCTGAAGTTATTCTGAGTTGAGCCAAGCATGTGTTTTCCAACATCCTTTTTATTATTGCTACTCTAATTCCCCTAAGGCCAACTCCACCCCATACTCCTACCATCCAATAATAACTTTAAAAATATTTTCAATTAGTTTTGAACATGTCTCTTGAAAAAAAATAAGTGGACTTACTATTTAGATACATAAAGATTTATTTAGCCAGTAGTTAAGAGCTTAACAGAAGCTTAGCTCCTCATATTCAACCTTCATGTACCTAAAATATCTCCCTCCTCCTAGAAGCTGAAAAACTGATCTTTCTTCATTAAGAAAGTTTTTAGAGGATGGGTAAACATTCCTGTAAATCTCCTGTAACTGGATTAGTTTTGCTTTTTTCTATTCATAGCTGAGGCTACATTTTCTTGGATTTCTCCTGTGAAAGACAAAATGAGCTGTGCCTGTGTGCCAAGTTGCTTCACTTGTGTCCGACTCTTTCGACCCTATTGGCTGTAGCTTGCCAGGCTCCTCTGTCCATGGGAATTTCCAGGCAAGAATCTGGAGTGGGTTGCCATGCCCTCCTCCACCGGCTCTTCCTGACCCAGGGGTCAAGCTCACATATCTTATATCTCTTACATTGGCAGGTGGGTTCTTTACTACTAGTGCCACCTGGAAAGCCCTTATATAATAGTTTATAATTAGGAAAAACAAAGTTTAAAAAAAGAACATTTGGAAGGGCTGTTCTGACATAATTCGCTCCTGCTAAGAAATACAAGGGTAAATCTGATATGCACAATTACCACTCTGTTACCCTTTTTTTTTGTCAATGGTCCCTGCTACTCTAAGAACTCAAATTGTTAATATTTTCTTTCCTTTCTTTCTCCTCATTTGTATATGTATAAATTTGAGAGTTGAGAAAAGAGTACAACAAAAAGAGAATGATTCAAATTTTGTGGACTACATTTTAAGACCCAGGTAAAGAAGTTTCATTTCTAGGCCGGGTCTATTGCAAAAATACATGCTTCTTAAAAATGCATTTATTTAATAAACATTGATTAATTGCCAATCTTTGTTAAATAGGTCAACAATTAAATTATTTAATAACAAATTTTCTGCCCTGTTGGAGTCTACAATCTACTAAGAGAAAAATGGAAACAGAATTATAATAAATATTATCATTGCTAAAATGGAGCTTTGATGAAGAGCTGGAGAATGTAAATCAGTAGATAGAAAAGTCTTCAAAAAGTAGGTAAAGTTTGAAACATGAACAGGACCTATGGAGAGGAAAGAAAAAGTGATTGGAGATCAGGGAGATGTGTCTATTCCAGAAGAAGAAAAGGCAAGGGTAGAATATGACAATTTGTGGGATCAACAAGGTAACAGATGAATAACTTAGATTTTTTCCTTTTATTACAAATTATAAAATGTTTTAAAAATAAGCCCTGTTCTCTCTTTAATCCATGCCACTGTATTAAACATAACAAGAATGATTTTTTAAATGATGTTTACCAGCTGATTTATTATACTTTAGAACTAAATGGTTTTCCTCTTTTGTGAGAAATCCTAGTCTTCCTAAGAAATTTCTGATTGATGTCTTTAGAAAGTTTAATATATCTAGTGATAGGAAGGAACAACTTAAATTCATAACAAGCATGACACTGAAAATAACATATGGAGGGTTGTTACCAGCATTTTTTCACAGTAGCCTGTTCTTCCCTATGTCCACTGGATCCCAAAGTATATTTAGTTAAGAAAGCAGTATGGGGTTGAAATAGAGTGAAGTTATAAACCTGAACAAAGAGAATATCTGTCAGTCAGTCAGTCAGTTCAGTCATTCAGTCGTGTCCGACTCTGCAACACCATGAACTGCCACACTCCAGGCCTCCCTGTCCATCACCAACTCCCGGCATCCACACAAACCCATGTCCATCAAGTCAGTGATGCCATCCAACCATCTCATCCTCTGTCATCCCCTTCTCCTCCTGCCCCCAATCTTTCCCAGCATCAGGGTCTTTTCAAATGAGTCAGCTCTTTGCATCAGGTGGCCAAAGTATTGGAGTTTCAGCTTCAACATCAGTCCTTCCAATGAACACCCAGGACTGATCTCCTTTAGGATGGACTGGTTGGATCTCTTTGCAGTCCAAGGGACTCTCAAAGAGAATATAATCACGCACAAACTTTTCTAAGAAACAGAATGTATATATATATATATGTGTGTGTGTGTGTGTGTGTGTGTGTGTGTGCATGAATATATATATATATATATATAACTTCAGCATCACATAAAGTTTTCTAAAAATAAAATATTCTGAAAGACAGATTATTATACTACCTAGAATGTTCTCAAACCTCCCTAAAGAAACATCCATTCCCAATCAAACAAAAAGCATTTATTACTTTATTCATTTATTTAATGAACATAAATTTATTAAAGGTCTACTATGTGCTTGGCACTATTCTCAGTACTAAAAATCTATCAGTGAACAAAGTACGGACAGATTCTGGTCATAAGAGATGGACATTAAACACTCAAATAAGTAATTAATTACATATCCAGTGTTCATGAATGTTGGTGTATTTTTGTTTAGTTTTGTTTCTCTAAAGTCAGGTTAACCAGCCCTTCTCAGCTAATCTCATTTCTCTGTAGTTTATGTTAAGAGTAGATGCATAATTTCCATCAAAAGCTCCAAATTCACAGGAATGGAATAACAACAAATATCCAAGGAGAGACAGTATCTTTGTTCTACATTATCCTGTTCCAGATCTTGAAAGATGAAATAGTTCCCAACTCATTTCTGTGTCTTGTTGCTGTGTGTACTGAGTTGTGTCCGACTCTTTGTGACCCCTTGGACTGTAGCCCGCCAGGTTGCTCTGTCTATGAGATTTTTCAGGCAAGAATACAGGAGTGGGTTGCCATTTTCTCCTCCAGGGGAATCTCTCCAACCCAGGGACCGAACCTGCATCTTGCACATCTCCTGCATTGCAGGAATATTCTTTACTTGCTGAACCACAAGGGAAGTCCATTTCTATGTCTATCATAACCTAAACCAGACAAAATGGTATACACAGACACACAAAGAGCAAAGAAATAACCAGTGTCACGTAGGAACACAGATCGCAGGTCCTAAGTGTAAGAGCAAATCAAATCCAGAAGTCTACTTAAAGAGCCAAGCATCATGAGCTAATAGAATATACTCTAAAAATGTCAAGTTGGGTGAACACTAGGACATTTGGTAGATTATTTTAATACATTACAAAGATAAAAGAGAAAAACTACATGTGTAACATGCTTTGTAAAGCATTTCATGAAATTTAACAGTTACTTTAAAAAAAGCGACTTTTATAATCTAACAATAGGAGATTTCTTAATGTGATAAAGGTGATAGTTTTTTAAAATCCAAATATAAAAAAACGCCTATATAATTATTGCTCCTAATTTTCCTCTAAAAAGAAGATACTGTCTGTTACTCTTTAGTATAGAACCAGTAGTCCTATCAACACAATGAGGAAATAGCACATATGAGAAAGAGGAGACAAAATGATTTTTATCTACAAATGATAGCTTTCTATAGTTTTATTATTGACATTATTAGCATGCATTAAAGCCATTCAGTAGGGTGGTCAGATAAAAGATAATCATAATGAAAGCAATAATTTCAAACAATAAAAATAGCAGCTAACATGTGTAAAACAGTAAAATAACAAGCAATTTTAAAAATTGTTTTCCAGGTATACAACATTTAATTCTTTGGAAAACTTCATGAGGTGAGTATCATTAATAACCTCTAACACGATAGAAATACAGTCCTTTTCACAAAGAAAAAATGGGGGGGAAGGATGCAAAGAAGAGTAAAACTAAAAGGGAATGTATCATATTTATACTATGAATTCTCATTCTTTACTGAAGATTATAAAGCAAGTTTTGAATATGTAAACAAATATGAATAGAAAGACTCAATGGTGTAACTACTATCAAATTAATCTGAAAGTAAAATATAATGACTGTTAGAAGCCCAACAAAGACGGTTTAATTGAATGTGGACAACCTGTTTTGGTAAAGGAAAGATACATGAATAATTGCAAAATTTTTAGGCAAAATAGTAAAAAACATCTCTTATGAGCCAAATCATACCAAAAAATAATTAAATGCTATTTTATTAGGACTAGATTGATATGTCCATTAATTGAAGAAAATTTTCAGTGTAGAAATTGAATACATATTTTATTATGGATATAAACTTTTTAATATGTTATCATTAAACTGTACAGATATCAAAAATTTTAGAAAAAGTCATTGACTAATAAATTATATTTGTACCTCATATGCAGAAAAATAAATTATGAATATTAAAAATATTAGCATGAAAATTAAACTAGAAAAGGGTCAAGTGGACATGTATATGGAATCTTACAAATAATCTTGAAGAAGGGAAGGTCTTCCTAGGCAAAAAAAAACAGAAAACAAAACAAATCCAAATCCAAAGAGAAAAAACCCAATCTAATGATTTTTCATAACTGAACTTTTAAGTGTCAGTTCTGTTAGTCCCATGGGATTATTTACCAAGGTGAGTGCATTTGTAGATTTATTCACAACACAAGTATCTGCATACAAATGGATTATTTTAAATCAGAATCAAGGTACTCATCTTACCTCTAATTATAATGCAAGTTACTTAAGGAATGAAAGTCTTAGAAGAAACAAATATTTTTAAGATGAAATTACTTCTGAATACTTGTACATGCTCATATGGAAATTCACCATGGAAGAGTAGTCGGTTCTTTTTTAAGAAAATGATATTCTAATCTCACAAAGTCCATGTTTTCAAACAGCTAACAGATCTCAACTGCATTGAGGTATATGGAAATTTGCACATTATACTGGGGTTAAGTAAGGACTCTAAAGGGAAAATTTTACAGAACAACAACATTTGATTGCTAAGCTCTATCTTTTCTCTCTTTTCAAAGCACTTTATGCAATTCATCCTGGCAAAATTAACACAGATAACATTCCCAGCCAGAGA